GAGTAGAAAATTTAAAGATTGCATTGAGTTTGAAAAGATAGCTTCGAAGAAATTTGTTTCGTTGGATGTAGCTACAAGGTGGAACTCAACGTATCTGATGTTGGAATCTGCAAAGCCATTTGAGAAAGCATTTCAGACATTAGCTAGAAATGATAAGAAATTCAAGAAACATCTCAATGAAAAAAAAAAATGGAAATGAAAGTCTTGGTATCACGACTTCTGATGATTGGTCTAGTGTGGGACGGTTGATTGATTACCTGAAGCTATTCTATGATTTGACTGTTCGAGTTTTTGGGACTTCATATGTGACTTTACACCTCTTGTTTGATGAGGTATGTGAAATGTATACTATGATATCTGAGTGGGCTGATGGTATAGATTTTGAGGTGTCTTGCATGGCTGATAGAATCAAGTCCAAACTTGCCAAGTATTGGTTTGAAGATGAGTTGGAGAATTCCAAGATGAATCGGTTGTGTTATATGGCAGTCATATTAGATCCTAGGCGGAAAGTTGAATATCTTGAACAAGCTTTAAAAAAGGTATATGGTGAGAGCAGGGGTAAAGCTTTGGTCGAAGAGGTGAAAGATGAAATGCGTCTTCTGTTTGACCATTACAAGCATAAACTCGGAATTCATGGCAGTCTCCCATTGTGATGCAAGAAGATGAGCAAGAACCTAGTGGAAGTGGGGGATGGGAAGAAGAAAGGAAAGATTTGGGGTGATTTCAGGAAAATGAAAAGAGATGCCATTCTGAAAGGAACCAGAAAAAGTTCAAAATCTGAGTTTGATAGGTACCTTGAGGAGGAGGAGGATGATGAAGTGGTTACACGAGCATTGGTGGGTTCGGAAGAGGATGAATACAAGTTTGACATCTTGGGATGGTGGTCGCGAAGTGGGATGAAATATCCTACTATTTCTGAGATGGCTAGGGATATTCTTGCTGTTCCTATTTCCACTGTTGCTTCTGAGTCGGCATTCAACACAAGAGGTCGAGTTTTAGATTCGTTTAGGACCTCCTTATCCCCTAAAGTTGTGGAGGCGTTGATTTGTTGTGAAGATTGGATAAGATCTTCAGACTCCGAGTTGGTGGCTGATGGAGAAGATGAGGGTGATGAGGTATTTCAAAATGGTAAGGATTTAATCTTTCTCTTTATTCTTATATTTGTTATCTTGATCAAGTCATATTCTAACAAATTGTTATTGTTTATGTTATCCAGTATATGCAGCTTTTCAAGCTCGGAGTGCAAGTGCACCTGCAGGACCTAGTGGAAGCTCTCGTGCAGGACCTAGTGGAAGCTCTCCTGCTACCCATGTTTTGGTCTCGAGTCCTACTATGTCACAAGTGGAAGAAGACTATGTCGACAACAATTCCGATGAGAATGATGAGACTTATGTAGATGTAGAGCCTGATGAGGAGTGATAATGGTAGTAGTATTTATCTTGTATGGTGGATGAATTTTTATTTTACTTGGATGTTATCATTTGAGAATTGTAAAAATAATGTGTTTAATTACGAGTTGAAGATAATCTCATCTATGATTGTCGGTATTTTATGTTGAACAAAATTATTTATAATTTTGTGCCAAACACCAAACATTTTTTTTGCATATGATAGTACCTTCAATTTTGGACCTATGGTATTTCTAAAACATTCAATTATATGAAAATCCACAATTAAATGGCCCAAAAGGTTGTATTACTTAACATAGCAATACATAAAATTATAATAGTATGTCTATAGTTATAGAATACATAAAATTAAATATTTTAATAATTAAGTAATAAGAATAAAATTGTTTGTACAAACAAAAGAATGTACATATAATAAGAATAATATTTTAATAATCAACTAATAAGAATAAAATAGTATGTTTTATGTTTAAGAATGTACAGATAATAAGAATAAAATTGTTTGTACAAACAAAAAATATGTTTAAGAATGTACAAATAATAAGAATAATATTTTAATAATTAACTAATAAGAATAAAATAGTATGTTTTATGTTTAAGAATGTACAAATAATAAGAATAAAATTGTTTGTATAAACAAAAGAATATAAAATTCAAATTATAAAAGTATTTAAAAAAAAATTAAACCGGTTCGGTTTCGGGTTCACCCGAACCGAACCCAAACCACCAGTTCTCTTTTCGGATTTCTGAACCCGCAACCCGCAAAACACAGGTCCGATTTCAGTTTCGGGTTTGTGGGAGCCGGTTTTGGGTTTTTGCGGTTTTCAAGTTCGGTTACCCGACCCGAACCGCACCGACAGGCCTACCCAGAATCCCCCAGAGGACCTTTCTTGTAGGGTTTCGGAGATCGCCCCCCGTCTGTCGAAAGTCGCCTGAGGCCGTGAAGTCTCACAAAACCGCCTGGTACGATCCAGGCACAAACAGGAAGGTAAGCTATTCCCAAAATCCTGTATATCAAAAAATAATTCCTGTTTTGAAAATTTATTCCTAGTAAAAATTGTATTCCATAAAAATTTATGTGAAATGAAAAAAAATCATGACGTTCGGATTTTGGAGCACAAAGTTATGGTTGTTTAAAGTTATTGAGGATTTTTAAAGTTATGGTTGTTTAAAGTTATTGAGGATTTTTAGCTTTCAATGAGTAAAACTTTGTCAATATATTATTGTTTCAAGAAAAGAGTTATAGTTGAGTGATGTAGTTGTTGTTTTAAATTAGTACAATATTTATTATTTGGGTTCGAACCACCACTCCCACAATATGTTGCTTTTTTTAATCTCTAAAAAATAAAAAAAATTCAAATGGGATGGTGGGGCTTCGAACCCAGGACTTCTTGCACACAATAAACAACTAAACTAGTTGTGCCAAGACCACTTGTGACATTTATTTTAGAAAAAAATATTATAAACCGCATGGTGGGGGTGTGGTTTGCAACCAAACCGCCCCCGCCCCATGCTGTTCGCAAAACCGCACCCCACCTGTGCGGTTTTCATCGAAAAACGCTGGTTCGATTGGCGGTTTTTGGGAAATTGTCCTATTTTTGGAATATTTTCAGGTTGGGTGCTATTTTTGGAAATTTTTTTAAACAATGCTATTTCTGGAAAAATTCATAAAACCGGCGTACCGGTATAAACTGGTTTAACATTTTTTCTTCTTCAAAATTTGAATCCAGATTACAGATAATCCTGAGTACCCTCTAGACGAATCACTTGTTCACATTGATAACTACGACGATGGTGATAGTGACGGTGACCTCGATTGATGCCAACAGTGCTAGTGCTGAGGACTATTATCATTGTCGTTTGGAGAATATGAGTTTAAATCTATAGATTGTCAACAATCTAAAGACTCTAATTATTCGGATTGTTGAAAATAGATTTTAAAATGTTTATTGTTTAGTAACTGTGATTGTTAACATTCAATAAAATAAAAATAAAAATTTTATATTAAATAATATGTTTATCCTTAATAATAAATTAGAATGGTTCGAGAAATATTAAAATTTTTGTTGATAAATATATTTAATATGATAAATAAATAAAAGAAAGAGAAAAGGTCGGAGGAAAAAAAATCTCACGAATCAAGATATAAAATCTCTCTGATTATGTGAGATTTGATATCCGTAGATTTTAGAGATTTGAAATCTCTAAAACTAAAATCCACAATACAAAAAGCAACAAAAAACATAACTTTCTACAATATCTACGGATTTAATGAATCCATACCCTAAATCTCGTTCTCCAAACGACCCCTAAGTTCATTTTGATTTTAATTAACCTAATTTTTTCTCTTCCTAAAATATCATAGCCCTTTTTAGACCCCTTTAATTACTTCTCAACAAAAAAAAAATGACCCCTTTAATTACTAAGCTTAAAATGTTAGATATATGTCATAGTCAGTGAATAATGTCCGCGTTGAGGAACTTTGGAGAGTGACTGACCAACCACGCTGGTCGCTCAAGTCTTTTTTTATTTTATTTTATACTAATGTCTTTCTTAATTGTGCAATTATTGGGTTGTTGGCTTAGTAAACCGCAAAAATATTTGAAAATGACTAGATTTTACTATTTTTTAATGAAAGTCATTTTTTTATAAAGACAAGAGCATCTTTCGAATTTTTTATTATTATAATATAACCACTTTTATTATTTTGATTTCGATTAAATCATTCGAATGAGGACTTTATCTAATGAGCTTATCGTTGGTTTTCAGTTTAGAAGTTTCAAATTCCAATGTTAAAGTGGGCTTTCACTTTCCACACAAACCCATTTAATAACATTAACGATTTTAATCCTCAATCCCATTAGAATAACTTAGAAAACGTTGCATGAGTTTTCTACAAATTATCCATATTTGAAAATTTATTTAATGATCATAGAACTTTCATTAAAAGACATATACAATAGTTGTAATTGATCATGTTAAATCTAGCTTGGTTCGGATAGGGTGCATAACATTTAATCTTGTTTCGGTGTATAACCAGATCTGATTTCTTGGTTTTAGTAGGGTAAGATTGATGGATGAGATTACAAATATTTTTAATTGATTTGTATCTTCTTTGTTTTAGCATGAATTAAAAAAATTGCACATAAGAAATTTGTTCATTATGATCCACGTAATTATAGCCATTTTTGATAAATTTCGAGGAAATTTTTTGTACCACCTATTACCACTCTCTATCACACTTCATAAATGTAGCAAAAAGAATGAGTTCATCATGATCTACAAAATGATGTTAATTATTTTTATATTTTTCTTGGCAGTAAATATGCTACCATATACCATTGTTATCTTCACAACGATATGATCATATAATCTTATATACTATTTATCACAATGCTATACATTTGTAAATATACTTCAGTTTTTCTCTTTTTTTTTTTCAAATTATATAAAAATGGTTGTCATTTTGAAAAGTATGATGAATATAATTTTTTTTTTTGCGAATAATTTTTAAATTCATCATAATTAAAAGAAAGAATACTGACCCTTAAATTTTAATATAAAAAAACAATTATTATGAATTGATTACTCGCCATAAATATATATACTCCCATAGCCTATGGAGCAAGCAGTTTTATATTTCATCATGAAAAGTCTCCTTCTTCTACGTTTTTATTTATTTATTAGAATGTGTAGTTTATGCAATCAATATTACTATATTGTTTAAGGCAAGCCCTCGGCTGGAAATCTATTTATTAATATGGTGGGTTGCAATTCCATTCCCAATCTCCCATCGAGTTCATCAGGATCGGAGCAGAAAGTATTTCCCCACCTTAAATTGTTACCAAATTCGCATTAGATCCCAAGCTCTGACCACTACTCGATCAGCTCGATCTTACAATGGTTCTGTTTGATTTCAAATCAGACAAGCACTTCGTTGCTTCCTCCGACAAAACTACTATTCATGTATACGAGCTGACCAACCCTACCATCCATCCTTCCCGCATCAGAAAGACTCACTGGAGGGAAGTCGCCAACATCACTCCTGCTCCTGATCATCAGGATGGCGGTGACGACGATGAGGACCAAACCGATCCCGACGAAGACGATGCAGCAGCAGGCGAGGAGGAGGAGGAGTCCTACAACGGGCTGATGTTCTTCGATGGTCACGGGAAGATCGAGGGATATGCGGCGTTGACCAAGCTAGCCCAACATCTCACTCGCTTGCGATTGATAGTGAGCCCCCAAGGGCAAGGTTTTCAAGATGTTGTCGAATTGGGAGAACACAAAGAGTTTGGGATTCACTATCTACGATTAAATGATCTCTTCAACTGGCCGGATCATGGGGTCAACATGGCGAGCGTGACCACCTGGCCACGCCTCGTGTTAAAGTACACCATAACAAAACGGGAGAAGCGACCTATGCTAGATGGAGGGGTGAGCAAGGAGAAGTACGAGGAGTTGAAAAAAACGGTGAGCCAAAAAGACAAGGAGTTAGGAAAGCTGAAAGAGGAGATGGAGGAACAAGATAGGGAGATACAAACATTAAAAGAAGAAAGAGAGGATGCAAGTGAACGACAGGAGGCAGAACTGCGAGAGTTGGAAGAGGAAAAAGACGAGGTGCTGAGAAAGTTGTTGAAGAAGAAAGATGACGAGTTACAAATGTTGAAAAGGAGGAAGGACAAGGAGATACAAATGTTAGAGGAAGAGAAAGAGAATGCAAGTGAGCAGCAGGAGGCCGAACTGCGAGAGTTGGAAAAGAAAAAGAACGAGGAACTGAGAGACCTGATGAAGAGGAAGGATGACGAGTTACAAAAGCTAGAAACGAGGATGAATGATGAATTGAAGATTTTGAAAAGGGAAAAGGATGATGGAGCAAAGCTGAGCAAAGAGAAAGATGATGAATTAAAAACAATGAGGGATGAAGTGGAGAATCTTAGAAAGGCTAATAAGGGAGACGAGGCAGCAGCAGCTGCAAAGAAAGGGAAAATACTTGTTAGTAGCGATGAATGGCACAAGTTGAAGAAGGACGAGGCGGAGATGAGGCAAGAGGTAATGAAGAACGACGAAGAGATGAAAAGAAGGCTGAAAAAGGAGAAAGAAGATAACGAAGCATTGCAAAAGTTGATGAACAAGAAGGACGCGGAATCCGAAAAGCTAAGGAAAGAGAAGGAAGAAGCGATGCAAGCGTACGCAACTGAAACGCGAAAGCTCAGAGACCAATTATCACAAGTTCAAGAGGTGGAGCGACGTCGTACTCAATCGTGGGCGCTTACCGGTGCGACACGATTCCTCGGTGAATACGTAGTCGACGTGCGCTCGAGACGGCCGGTGAGCCAGGACACATGGCACAATCTTAGAATCGAGGCACCACGTGACCATTATTATATTTACGAGCCAAGTACCAACCCGAGCTCCTCGCGTTTCCCGATGAGAAATTGGCTTGTGGTGGATGAAGAATCCAAAGATTGGCCGTCTCCTCCCAAGGTCGGTGTACACTGTCAGCCAGCTGGCCAATTCGACAAAGCTAATTGGTGGTTTGTGAAGTCATTCCACCCAGATGGTCGTTTGGCGATGGTGGCTTATTACGACGGCAGCCAGACTTCTTATGTCGACCCCAACTATCTTTACCCTGTCCGACTTCCCTTTCCAAGGAACTCTAAGGTTTACACAACTATACCGTTCTTCCTGGTTCCAGCGAATGGAGGAAACATGCTTGCTTTCATGTACCGAGACTAGGTAGCTAGGTTGGTGGAAGGCTGGCTGGTTTCCTTTTTGTTTCAACTTTTCCTTTTAGTATTTGATTTGGTGTGTGACAGTATGGATATATTTAGTATCAGTTTTGAATTGAACGGATTACAACTAAAGCCATACTCTTATTGCTAGGGCTGTTAATCGGTTAGCGGTTACTCGGTTGGACCGAAAACCGAACCGAAAATGTCGGTTTTATAGTTAACCGAAAACCGAAATATTAATGCGGTTTGCGGTTGCGGTTGGTCAATTCCTGGCGAAGGAGGCAAAATTCGGTTGGCGGTCATAACTATAGGTGTCAATCGGGCGGGTTCGGGCTGGGTTCAAACGGGTTGCGGGTTAGTCGGGTTGCGGGTTCATCGGGTTCGGGTTCAAACGGGTTGAGGGTTAGTCGGGTTGCGGGTTCATCGGGTTCGGATTCAATCGGGTTGCGGGCGGGTCGGGTTGTTCGGGCCAGCGCAACAAGTAACTTAACTCATTACTCATTACCAACTTACACATTTTATTACACTAATTTAAAATATTTTCTCAACTTTTTAACCAATTTATTTCTACCTCGTATATATATACTTTATTTTTTTGAAAAAAACTAGTCAAAATGTTAAATCAATTTGTATGACTTGCAAACTTGTTATGTAATTAATCATAATTGGTAAAGTATTATAGCTAATAGTAATGGTCAATATTTGCAACCAAAAGACACCATTAATTGTTTATTTGATATTTTAGTATTAATTCAGTAGTAATTGGGTTAAAGTATCTCGTTTAGTATAACCATGCAAATCTAGTATTTGGCGTGTGGTATTTGGCAAAAGCATAGTGATAAAAGGAGTTATTTGTAAAATTGTTCGAATTATCCTAAAAATTGAACCATTAAAAATTAGCTATCAAATTTAGTAAAATTATTGTGACTTCAATCATAACTTACTCAATAGCATATATCCTATACACTTAGCTTTACCCTCAATCAACAATATTAAGTTAGTATATGTTGTTGATTGTATACCCTAAACCATCAATACATTATACACTAACCACATAACCTATACCCTAATCATATGTCCTTGAGTTGTGATTTTGCTAGTATAGTTAATTTAAAAGTGAAATTCATACTTTGATTTTCAAAACATAGATAAAAAGTGATATTAGCTAATTGTTATACCCTAACCATATATCCTATACTTTACACCACATACCTTGTACCCTAACCACGTACCATAAACATAAATTAAAAAGGGAACTCCTGCCGTTAAAAACTTTAAATGACTTCAAGTGAACATATGTTAATAAAAAACTTAGAACCGTCAAAACCATCAATATCATATACCCTAACCATATACACCCTAAACCATATGTACCTTATACCCTAACCATATACTTTATATCCTAAACAACGAACCGTCAAATATTACTTATCAAGTTTAGTATAAAATTGTTGTAACTAATGGTTAATTTATTTATTAGCCCATAAAAAATTACATACATATATACATATTAGCCTTCAAAGCATATAAGAATAATTTTAACTAGTCATGCCCTACATATAAAAGTTAAAGATTCATATTTCAAAAGCTAAAATTATGAAAAACCAAAAAATTGAAAACACCAAATTTGTTTCCTTCTTTCTTTTCACAAAAATACTAAAATTTCTCTCCTTCTTTCTCATTCCATACATAAGAAAAACTCAATTTTCCCTTCTCTTTCTCTTCCATAAAATTGAAAGAACCAAATTACCCTCTTCTTTCCTTCTACAAAAAGTTGGAAAGTCAAAAGTTTCCCTCCTTATTTCTCTTTTATAATCAAAAGAATCAAACTTTCCCACTTTTTTCTCTTCCCACGTATCAAAACCACCAAAATTCCCACTTGTTTCTTTTCTAAAAAATTCAAAGAACCAAATTTCCCTCTTCTTTCTCTTCCCAAAAACTTGAATACACCAAAATTTCCCTCTTCTTTTAAAAACATCAAATTACCAAACCAATTACTTTACTTTATTTATATTTAATTGATAATTTTATTGAATAGTTAAATTAACTAAAATTTTAATTTATATATTATATAATATTATCATGATCTCAAGTGATCTTCATGTTTCAATTTTTGTAATTTTCTTAAAATACGTAATGTCAAGTGAGTTTCATATTTTTAAAATTTCTTATACGAAATGAAAAAATAATTTTACTTAAGTTTAGAATGAAAAACTTTATTTTGAAAAACTATGTATTGTATATTTTTATAATTATTCAAGTGGATTAGATGAAATTCGGGTTGAGTCGGTCGGGTTACGGGTTAGTCGGGTTCGGGTCAATCGGGTTCGGGTTAATCGGGTTGCGGGTCAGTCGGGTTCCAGGTCAATCGGGTTCGGGTTAATCGGGTTGCGGGTTAGTGGGGTTGCGGGTTAGTCGGGTTGCGGGTCAATCGGGTTGCGGGTCGGTCGGGTTACGGATTGTTGATTTTAGTCAATTCGGGTTGCGGTCGGGTTGCGGGTCGGGTTGATGGGGCGGGTTAATCGGGTCGGGCTATGTTTTGACACCTATAGTCATAACCGAAACCGCGCGCGGTTAACCGCCCTAACCGCGAATCCCACTTCACCTGGCCAAACCGCGCCGTGCCCTCACCTAGGTCTCCCTCTTGTCGCGATTACAGAGTAGAACTGAAAGGGGAACCCTAAATTCGACCTCCCAAAAAATTTCTCCGCCCGCCAATCCACCACCTCCTCCTATTTCCTCCCCAACAAACCCCAGCCCTCCCGGCCGCCTGTCGTCGTCCTCGCCTCGTCATCGCCAAGGCGTCCCAGTCCATCGAATCCTCCCGCAACCCTAATTCGCGATACCAATTCCAGCGCGAGAAAGTCTCTCACCCTGCCCCGCCGCTACCCTCCCATTCCCTTGTTCCCTGACCTCCCCTCTCCGGCGCGGTGTCCACGCTCCAGACGTCGTCATTCCTACCCCGGCGTCCCCACTGCAGCCGTCGGCCCGTCGTAATCGTTGTTGTCGTCATCGTCAGTCACCTCGCGTCAGCGTCGCTCCGCCCCAGCCTTCGTCCGTCCTGCCGTTCGTCGTCGCCCCCAGTTCTGCGATTCACGACGTCGACCCTCAATCCCATCGTCCGTCGCGCCCCCCTTTCCTATGTGAGTCCTCTGTTTCCCCTCAATGGTTTGGTCACTATCAGTGACGGATAAGAAGAGGCGTTTCTTGTGGGAGGAGGAGGGTGATTCGGTAGAGGGAAGAGACGGCGTTCTGTACGGAAGGGGTGGAAGTGGAGGAAGAAGAAACAGCGGTGAGCAGGGCGGAGATCGCGACGGCCATCGGTCTCGACTGACCGCACAAACAAACCGAAACCGTCGGTTGCGGTTTGCGGTTAACCGCACCTCCCTTCGGTTGCGGTTGCGGTTGACGTTTCAGTGGCGTCTTCGGCTGCGGTTAACCGCAGTTGCGGTTCGGTTAAAACCAAAACCAAAACCGCACCGCTAACAGGCCTACTTATTGCAATTTGATTTGGGTTCATACCCTAACTTGGCAGAAGTTTGGTATAAGTGTCAGTTTTCGCCCGAATTTTTAATAAGAAAGTTATGACCAACTTTTTAAAATAATGGACAGACTAACACTTATGCTAAAATTCGGACCAAACTAGGATATTAACCCATTTGATTTTGATGTCATCCTATATTTTAATTGTTTTGAGAAGCTTTCTTAAAAAATGTCATTTTGTCTTTGCGTAGAACTTCGATTATGCTTTAAAGAACTTATCATCCATTTATTTGTTTGATACATTGTCGATGGAGTGATTTTTTTCCCCAAATACACAAGTAGATAACATTAGAAGAAAATTAAAAAAATCAACCTAGGAACTTTCTCAAAGCAACATATAATAGTGAAACCAACCTAAGAAAATCATCTCAGCCTTATGGTTCTCTTTGATTTCAACTCAGACAAGCACTTTGTTGTTCTCTCTAATAAAACTACCCTGCATCTCTCAATACTTCATTGTCGCGACAACTTTACCGTTAGTTTATCTTATTTTTGGTCTTGAGTCCGTCATTTGGATCGGACCAAATGGGCGATTTACCGCATTTATAACTTTATTTAACGCGATGCATAAAATTGTTACGTGAGATATAATATTGTGTTATGTTCCTTTTAAAAACGACATCAAAGTATGAAATTATTATAGAATGGATGTCATCTGGTAAAGCAGAAGTAATCCAATTTTATGAGAAATTTTTTAAATAGAGTTAAAATGACTGAGATTTTCAATCGAGAATTTTTTTTAATAGTGAACCAAATTAGCAAGAAAAATAAATTTGTTCAATTAATAATAAGTAATTATCAACATATAATCAAATTATTTTACCATTACATAACCAATAAACAACTTATTTATCACACTTCCTAATATGCATTTTCCTCCATAAAACAACATTTTTACTTCCCTCTAAATTTTCTCTCCCCTCCCCTCCCCTCCCCTCCCCTCCATTTTCCTCTCTTCCTTCGAAAATAGAATGAAAGACTTTAGAATTCACTATCTCCGGTTGACCAAGAACGTTGGGTTCAGACGGGGCAGGAGGAGGAAGGATCGCGTTAAAGATATGGGGGGTGTTCTTACGGAGGATCATGGACAGGTGTCCATTGAATCAGAAGATTTTCGCTTAATTTTCCTTTTGTGAAAGGCTTTCGAACGGTAAGAATTTGGTGGTCTTTCGGAATTCTCATTCGGTTGGGGGTGTAGTGGTTCATGATGATTCGAGGCGATGGTGGCTGCATTCGGGAGGCTGTTTGCCAGGTTGGTGGAGCCGGTGGTTGCGGAGTTGATGACCTTACGAGAAGCTATCCAATGGTGCGTGGATGCTCAGGTCTACGAATGTTAGAATTTAGGGAGATTCTGAGATTGTTATTAATAAAGTTCGGGCCGGAAAAACAATAGGGTAGCCCATATAGTAGGTAAAAAGACCATTTATTTATTTCATGCGGGAGTGTAGGGATTTTGCTTTTTGTACTTGGCTTTTAACGGAGGCCGGTATCGTGTAAATTTTTGGTTTTTTTATTAATGCAAGTGATCTTTTTATTAAATTTTAATTTAAAACTAAAATGTTTCTATTGAAAAACATCAAATCACTACAAATAAATTATAAAATAATTTCTAAAGATCACTAAATCATTACGAAAAGTCGTTCAGTCGCTACTAGAACATCATCAAATCACACTACTAAAAATGAACAAAATAAAAGTTTAAGATATGGGTTATGCACCCTTGCATAACTAAATTTGTGCCCTTAGTTTTGAGTGGGTCCAGATATAAGGACTAAAAATGAATTATTATTTTCATTAGTTTTCTTAATCTACTCTTATCTTATTCTCTCTAACTTGAGTTTCAACTGTTTTGCATAGATGAAACGAGCGAGTTCGTTGTGATCAATAAAATGAGATCAATTATATTTCGAGAAAAAATTTCATACAACTCTTTACCACCTTGGTATCACCTGGTACCACCTTCGTTTTTAACTCAAATTTTGAAATTTTTTGCACAGATGAAATGAGTTTATCGTGATCTATTCGATCTACAAATTTTTTAAATAGAGGACCAAACTGTACCACTCCATACCACTCTGGTATAGAGGTGATAGCTAATGGTAAACAATGATGAATGTGATAAATGACAGTTCATATATTTCTACTATTATGTATTCAACCATACTACACTCTATTATTTTCATACCACTATGCTACACTTTTCATATTTTTTTTTATTATTATAAAAAATAATTGCAACACTTTTCATAATTCCTAAGCTTAATATGTTATGAATGTGACTGACCAACCGGTCGCTGAAGTCTTTTTTTTTTTATATAGTTACTAAAGTCTTTCTTAATTTTTTTTTAATAGGAATACTAAAGTCTTTCTTAATTATGCGATCATTAGGGGGGTTTTATTGATAAAAATGATAATTGGGGTTGTTGTCGTTGTCTTAGCTGTGGGACGGGTTAGCATGCTAACCCCTTAAGGGGTTGGTTTTTTGACACCCCCTTTTAATTGGTCAATTTTTCATTAATTATTGACAAGTATTAATGAAAGTAAACATAAGAAATGTTCTGTTATTAAATACAAAGTAAGCATTAAATACACCACATTAATTACCACTTTACTGGTATTTGTACCACTGCACTGATACTCAGATATGACATTGCTACCAGTGCACTGATATCGCTACCAGTGCAGTGGTATATCTACCAGTACAGTGGTACAACGTATCAGTGCAGTGGTATATCTACCAGTACAGTGGTACACCGTATCAGTGCAGTGATATATTTTTTGGAGGTGGTCGGAGGGAGTCTGCCGATGAGATTTTCACCGGAGAAGTGTGGCGGTCGGAGGAAGTCTGGTGGTCAGAGACTGCTGAAAAAGGAAAAATCAAATATAGTGAGAGAATTCCTAATGTGTATTTAATAGTGAGAGAATTCCTAATTAATATGGTACATTTAATTCCTAATGTGTATTTAATGTGTGTATTAAATTCTATAGTTGTATTTAATATACTAGGGGGTGTCATTTTTCCAACCTCTAAGGGGGTTAGCATGCTAACCAACCCCCTTAGCTGTTAATGCGAAAACATTTTTTAAAAATGACTACATTTTGTACTATTTATTAATCAAAGTCATTATTGCTTTGTATTTCATCTTTAAATTGATAACTTGATAAGATATGCAGCCTATTCTGCATTTTGTTAAAAAATTGTAAGATATACTCGTTGACTAGCGTGTATAAAGTGTGCAATAATTACTCTTTTTCTTTAAAATAGATAATAATAATAATAATAATAGGAGCTATATTCACGAAGACATTGCTATTTATTAATATATGGTAGGCTGAATACAAATTTTGCAATTCCATTCCCAATCTCTGATCGAGTTCATCAGTTTTCCCCACCTATAACCCTCCTTAAATTGTTACCAAATTCGCATTAGATCACAATCTCTCACCAATCATCTCAGCCTTATGGTTCTCTTTGATTTCAAGTCAGACAAACACTTCGTTGCTTCCTCTGACAAAACTACCATTCATGTATACGAGCTTACCAACCCTACTATCCATCCTTCCCGCATCAGAAAGACTCATTGGAGGGAAGTCGCCAACATCACTCCTGCTCCTGATCACCATGATGGCGACAATGAGGACCAAAGCGATCCCGACGAAGACGATGCAGCAGCAGGTGAGGAGGAGGAGGACGAGTCGTACAACGGGCTGATGTTCTTCGATGGTCACGGGAAGATCGAGGGACATGCGGCGTTGACCAAGCTAGCCCAACACCTCACTCGCTTGCGATTGATAGTGAGCCCCCAAGGGCACATTTTTCAAGATGTTGCCGAGTTGGGGGAACACAGAGACTTTGGGATTCACTATCTCCGGTTGAATGATATCTTCAACTGGACGGATCACGGGGTTTGTATGGCGAGCGTTACCATGTGGGATCGCGTCGTGTTAAAGTACACCATACCAAAACGGGAGAAGCGATCAGTGACGAGCGAGGAGGCGAGCAAGGAGAAGTACGAGGAGCTGAAAAAGATGGTGAGCAAGAAGGATGAGGAGATAGGAAAGCTGAGGGAGGAGATGGAGGAACAAGATAAGGAGATACAAACGTTAAGGGATGCAACTGAACAACATGAGGCTGAGTTGGAAAAAGAAAAGGACGAGGAGTTGAAAAAGAAAGATGACGAGTTACACATGCTTAGAAAGAGGAAGGATAAGGAGGTACACGCGTTAGAGGAAGAGAAGAAAGATGCGAATGAACAACATGAAGCGGAGCTGCGAGGGTTGGAAAAGAAAAATGATGAGGAGCTGAGAGAGTTGATGAAGAAGAAAGATGATGAGGTACAAGTGATGGAAAAGAGGAAGGATGATGAGTTAAAGGAAAAGAACAATGAATTGAAGACGATGGAAAGAGAAAAGGATGAGGGAGAAAAGCTGAGCAAAGAGAAGGATGAGGAATTAAAAACATTGAGGGACGAAGTGAAGAATTTGAGAAATGATGCTAATAAGGGAGATGAAGTCGGCGCTGCAAAAGAAGGTAAAATCCTAGTGGATAGTGATGAATGGCAAAAGTTAAAGAAGGACGAGAAGGAGCTGAGGCAAGAGGTAATGAAGAAGGACGAAGAGATTAAAAGGAGGTTAGAAAAGGAGAATGAAGATAAGGAAGCACTGCAAAAGTCGATGAACGAGAAGGACGCCGAATCCAAAAAGATAAAGAAAGAGAAGGAAGAAACGATCCAGGCGCATGCAGCTGAAACGCGAAATCTAAGGGTCCAGGTGTCTCAACTTAATGACCTAGAGCATCGTCGCAAACAACCATGGCAATGGACAGGTGCGACACGGTTCGTACTCAACGTGCACCACCGGCGGCCAGTGCCACCAGGTACTTGGTCCAATGCGGTACCCAGTCATTGTTACAATTATGATCCATATGCCACGACGGGCGCCTTGCCGTTCCCCAGAATAAATTGGGCTATGGTGGACGAAGACCCTAAAGATTGGCCTCTTCCTCCTAAGATTGGCGTATCCTGTCAACCTGGCCAATTTGACAAAAACAACTGGTGGTTTATAAAAACATTTCATCCGGACGGGCTCTTGGCGATGGTGGCTTATTATGACGGCACTCACCCTTGTTTAAACGATCCCGGCCACTACACTATCCAACTTCCCTTTCCAAGAAACTCGAAATTTTCGACTGCCATACCTTTCTCCCTGTTTCTGGTGAATGGCACATACAAGCTTGCTTTCGTCTACCGCGACTAGCTATATAGAGGGTGACCAATCGAGATTTGGTTGCTAGAAAATTTCCGATTTGTTTCAACTTTGACTTTTGTGTATTTATTTGGTGTGTGATCGTTTGGATTTCGCTGTCAGTTGTCACCTCCCTCATCATTGCTGCTCTCAGCGGCTGTCGGAGGTGGGTTTATTTATCTTTCTCTGTAGTTCATACCAAGGTGTTTGATTGTGATAATTTGTATTTGAATAGCCTTAGTCAAAATCAATTTGTTCAGCCTCAAAACTTCCAATATTTATGTAAAGGTACAACTTATTCCTAAAAAGTGACTGAGCGGTAAAAGTCTTTAAGTAGTATTTTATAGGGGGTGTTCAAATTGTTACCATGGTAATTATCAAACCAAATAAGGCCAAATTCTATTAATCATGGAATACAATATCATAACCAAACCGTCCAAACTAATATAGCAACCAAATTAACCAAACTAAAGTTTAATCGGTTTGGTTAATTGGTTAACCAGATTTACCAATATAACATCACATTATCATTAAGTGATACAAAATTCCAAGTAACACATAGTTATAGTTAAGGCTTAACATAAATATATGAACCTAATACAATTATCTTAGGCAAAATTCATATGTGTAGCCAAAACTTTGACGTTTGTGACAATAATAGCCACTTTTGGGGAAATACAAATAATTACCATAAATTTGAAAGTTTGATGACAATAACAGCCATTTCCGTTACATAGTTTGACGGCGTCAGTCACACCGTTAGTCAAATTAACATAACGATGATCTGGATGCCAACTCACCAGACACATCATCGACAACTCACCAACACTTGGCACATGGATGCAATGTCATACTTTAATTTAGAAATAAATGAAATATCATAAAAATAAAATAATCAAATTTTCTTTTCCGGCCTCGTCCACCGAACTGCTCGCCATATATGGAGGATTACAAGTTTACAACCACTGCAATCTTCCAAAAGGAAAAAGGCACAAACTTTACTGAAAACCCAATTGAAAAATTCAATCGGAAATCCAAGTTCCTATCACCTGATCTAAGTTTCTCATCGTTGGATAAATCGCAGAGGCTAAAATTTGGCTGGGGACTGGAGAACGAAGGAATCCAGAAGACAGAGGTTGCAATTCGAATAGAGGGAATGGAGTGCAATATCTGAACACCACCCTAGACAGATCGAGAGAGAAGAGGGGAATGGCCGAGGAGCTGTTTAATCTGAGGGTATTGAGAGATGATCTGTTTTCTGACGGAGAATCCATCATCGTTTGCATCTTACCAAGGATGATAAGACCTATAGTGTCCCCTCACCGCCTCCTCACCAGTCACTCCCATTTCGTGTCATCCTTATTCATTAGATCTCTCCGCCGCCCTCTCCACAATCTTCGTCTAGCGCCAGTCTTCGCCTAGCTTGTCGGATCTTCGCCAGATTGTCGCCCAGCACAGGTCTTCGCCCAGTTTGTCAGTCTTCGCCATTGAGGGAAGGACGGGTGGAACAGATCTGGAAATCCCCTTAGATCTTCCAATGTCCGATCTCGCCCAGAATCTCTTCCTGGATAACGACATTGGTATAACAGGCTCCACACAAGGAACTTCTGATCAGAATCCCGGGTGCCATAGCCCAATTGATCGAGAAAGGTGAGGCTTAGGATTCCTTCATGGAGTGAAGACTTCAACGATGAAGAGGAGGAATCGAAGGAAGAGGGAATCAGTTCGAAGGGAAGGAGCCGAAGGAAGAGGGAATCGACGGAAGTGGGAATCAGTTCGAAGGGAAGGAATCGAAGGAAGAGGGAACCAGTTCACGAGATGGAGTTTTTTGGCCGACGGTGAATGGGGGATTCTTGATTAATTGTACAGGGATAAGGGGGAGAAGATGGGATCAGAGTAGATGAGGAAGAGAGGTGAATTTTGATTTTCATTTTTATTTCATTTTTGTATTTAAAATTTAAATCCACGTGGCATTGTTATTTACGAAATGTTTCCACGCCAGCCTTTCCGTTAGTCCAGTCAGCACGTTAACTAACACCGTCAAACAATTGGACGGAAGTGGCTATTTTGGGTATTTCGCCAAACGTGGCTATATTTGGCTAAACCGTTAAAGTTTGGCTGCACATGTGTATTTTGCCATTATCTTATAATCAATAGAAGTATTCACCTAACAAAAATATATGCAATGGTCTGGGGTTAATGAATTATTGTGTTTTTGTGAGTTGACTTAGTCTCTTAACAATTATCATAGGCCGAAAAAAACAATCCTTTCTAGTTTTCATCCAACACAATGTACGAGTTTTATCTAAATTAGTCTTCCATATGCTTTGGTCTACACTCTACAAATACAAATATACAATATAGGAACAATATTGAGCTTTATTTTTTTGTGTGCCTAAAAAGGGAGGAATGTTTGATTCTTGAGTGGTCATGCAAAGTATTAAGTATGCATATAAAATATATATTAGATATATGGATAATTACTTAACTAGTTAATTTGGTTTGATTGGTTAAGAGTATCTGAAACCAAACCAAACCACCAAAACCAAACAAGCTAAAATGTTTAACCAAACCATTATCCAAATTAACCAAACCAAATTTTCCAAATACGACCGGTTAAAATGAAGCCCACGGTAACCACACCGTTTTAACACCCCTATTAGTACATTAAAGAAGCAATTGGGTCAAATCCCACGCGGAAAAGTACACTCAGATTACTACCGGATTTGAAAAAACTAAACTAATCAGCCCCAAACAAACTAGGTCCAACACCCAATAGGGCCTAGACCCAAGACCCAAACCAAGATCTAGTCTTCAAACCCTAGCCCAGATCTTTCCCTCTGGTATCCTCCTCCGCCGCAGCCGAAAACCCCCACTGTCGCTTGGTCACAAGCAACATCGCTTCCCACCAGCCATGCCGCCATGTACCATGCCGTTGAATCCAGCTTCCACCCGCCCGGATGGAGGGAAAAGGCAGAAACATCTCCAACTGGTTTGGTGCGTCAATTTTCTGTGCTAGTGGAGGAGTGGCTGCGGGTGCCGAGGTTGGAGGTGGGGTTTCGTAGCCACATGGGGATGGGGATGTGACTAAAGGGTGATGATCGGGGCTCGGGGTTGCAAAATCTGGCTAAGATGGTGTGTTCTTTTGATGGTGCAGTCTATCGGGATTCTCATTTGGCTTGGTGTGTAGTGGTTCAAAATGGTTCGGGGGCGGTCGTGGTGGCGTTTGGGAGGCTATTTGCCGGGTTGGTGGAGTCGGTGCTGGTGGAGTTGATGACCTTGTGAGAAGCTATCCAATGGTGTGCGGATGCTCAGGTCAAGAATGTTAGAATTCAGGGAGATACTAAGGTTGTTATTGATAAGGTTGGGGCTGGGATTAGTTGGGATGGTGGGGCTAAAATTATTTATGAGCAGACTCATAGACTCTTAGATCACTGTTCGGGTTGTGAGCAGCGAAAACAACAGAATAATTCATCTGGTGGTTAAAATGCCCCTTTCTTTGTTTTTTACGGGGTGTACGGGTTATGATTTTTGTGTTTCGATTTCTACGAAGGCTGGTATCATGTATGGAAAGGAACAAGGTAACCCATATGGTGATTAAAAAACCCCTTTCTTTGCTTCCTGCGGTGTGTAGGGGTTATGATTTTCGGGCTTGGCTTTCTATAGAGGCCAGTATTGTGTAACTTTTTTTGCAAATGATCTTTTCGTTAAAAAAAACTAAAAAGAAGTTATATTAAAAACATGAAATTACTACAAATAAATTATAAAACCATTACGAAAAGTCATTGAATCACTACTAGAACATCATAAAATCACTACTAGACATGCACATGAGAATGGTGGTGACATCGACAATGACGATAATGGGTATATGCTCATTAAATGACCAACATCTCTTTATTTTATTATCTATCTATCTATCTATCTATCTATCTATCTATACTATACTATACTATACTATATATTATGACAATTAAAAAGTAACTCCTTGCCACATAAGCACTTGGAAATAACAAGTTGTCTAGGTGGACATTTTTTTAATAACAAAAAACTTTATTATTGATGTATTTATGAAGCTATCTCTTTCTTCATATACTACTTATGCTCACTTTTACGTAACATTAATAATAAGTTACATTAAGAATTTAAATAAAAACAAGCATAAATAAGAATATTTTTTCAATTATTTTCTTTCAATTAAACAAAAAATCAAGTAAATTATCTACTCATTTTAACCAAAATTAAATTATAAGTTAAATTTTGATGAAAAATTTAAATAAGTACACACATAAATAATAATATCTTTGTCTACTAAATAAAATATAACGACACAAAGAGACAAATCAAGCATTTGACAATCAATCGACTTTGAAAAATAAAATATATGAATTTATATATTAAACCTTCTCTTCTTTATAATATATATGTATACAAATTAAAATAATTTTTATGTAAATATTTATTTTATTTAATAAAATAATTTTCAGAATATAACTTGATCGAGCAATAATAATTATTTCTGAAAAATATTTCTATTCATCCCGATTAAGTGAAGAAATATATTCATATTCTACCTGAAATTTCTGAAATGAAGAGTAATCACATTTTCAATATTTTACAATTTATTTTAAGTTCACATTAAAATATTCAATTTTGATAATTTTGGTTGAGCAAGCTCAATTGAGTTCATAAATAGTATGCTAATAAATTTTCTTTTAAGATTTAGAGTTATTGTTGAGGATTATACATCTAAGTTTTCAAGATGACTTAAGTATGAGTTTTGACGAGCTTTGACCTTTTACCTTAAGACGAGACACAATATACTTTATTTTTTCTCTACTATTTTTCAAACCAATACAGGAAAGGAAAGTGTATGACATATTGAGTTTTTACTATTTGTAAGATTAAAACGTAGCAGGAGGTTATAAGTAGAAGAGAACACATGTGAGGTTTTATTGTTTGTTTCAATTTCTACACATTTGCAATGACATTTGTTTGTTTCCTTATTGTGAAATTTTGCCTAATTGAATCTCAAACTAAAACTTGATTTTGGCCTGATCGTTTTCTTGACAAGAATTATTTGGATTGATGCATCAACCGTGTTCATGAATGAAGATATTATAAAATACAATGAATTGAGTTTTATTGAAGTATTCAACTTTTACAATTCGTCTATTTTGTATTACTTATTAGGTAAAAAAAATACACCATTGGTTTTTTGAAGGGGGTATGTAGCTCTCTACAAATATAAATAGTATGCTAATAAATTTTCTTTTAAGATTTAGAGTTATTGTCGAGGATTATACATCAAAGTTTTCAAGATGACTTAAGTATGAGTTTTGACGAACTTTGACTTTATACCTTAAGACGAGACACAATATACCTTAAAAAATGACACATGTGAATGATAACGGAATATTTGTTAAGAATATACGATAAACATCACGTTTAATCAATCACTGACCTAGACATTGATCAAATAAGGATTGACAATTTTCATTTAATAGTTGAATGTCTTTTAGACAAATCAAAATTTGAAGATGGAGACAAATCAAAATATCAGTGGTGTTAGTTGAGATATCTAAACAAAAAACTTTTATAGTTACAAGAATCAAAATCAAGATATTGGGTTAAAATGAAGAATCTCTAATAATAAGAATGAGTTTAATAATCAATTGTAATAAGTCATTTGGTTATATGGTGTGAGACTATAACTCCATGCCAACTTTTGGTAATAATAAAAACTTTTTCAATATCAAAGTATCAAATAGGAATTTTCTATTTTGTAACGGTAAGCAAGTTGTCTTTACAATAAATTTGTCTACAATACATCCAAGAATATCAAATGTATGTCAAATGTCACAATATTTGTTTGAATTCTTAAAGTTTATAAAAAATTTCAAAAAATTATAAATCATCATTACTTAATATTATAGAAATTTAAAACTAAATTAGTGTCACATCAACGAATGGCTAGCTCTCACCCTTCCACAGTGGATAAGTTCTAATTCTTGCTTATGTATTTTTTTTTCTCTTTAAATTGTCATCAGTATAAATAAAACCTAAATTAAGTTAATAACATAGATCCAACATTTTGGTTTGTTTCTATCCCTTTTTTTTATACAAATTCTCTCTATAAAAATAAAGCGCAACATTGAAAATAAAAAAATAAAGAAATTGGATCAAGCCCCATAAAAACAAACAAACCTCTCTTCTTATTTGCTCAAAATCATGAGATTTCTAGCATTTATTTTCTCAACTATTTTTCAAACCAATACAGGAAAGGAAAGAGCATGACATATTGAGATTTTACTATTTATAAGATTAAAACGTAGCAGGAGTTATAAGTAGAAGGGAACACATGTGAGGTTTTATTGTTTGTTTCAATTTCTACACATTTGCAATGACATTTGTTTGTTTCCTTATTGTGAAATTTTGCCTAATTGAATCTCAAACTAAAACTTGATTTTGGCCTGATAGTTTTCTCGACAAGAATTATTTGGATTGATGCATCAACCGTGTTCATGAATGAAGATATTCTAAAATACAATGAGTTGAGTTTTATTGAAGTATTCAACTTTTACAATTCGTCTATTTTGTATTACTTATTAGGTAAAAATATACACCATTGGTTTTTTGAAGGGGGTATGTAGCTCTCTACAAATATAAATTGTGTTTATATGCAGTTTAGTTTGCTGAAAATATCATTTTGATAAATTAGTGACAACAGATAGTTCTATTTCTCGTTGGTTTTGCTAGAACATTTTAAAAATAAATTAAATGATTAAGCAGAAGATTGATGATGTGGATGATAATGTGTTTCTTCACCAAAATTGCACAAGTAAATGATAGTGCACGATGTTCGTGGGATTTACATCATGATATTATGTATTATCATATACCAACATACAAGAAGGGAGAAGAAATGAAAAACTCTATGCTTATTTTTTTAAATAATAGAAACATATTTGCTTATTTTATTTTTTAAAATTTTTTGTCACTATTGTGTGTGCTATAAAATTAATAATCTCTTATTTTTATATCCTAAATTGTTTGTTCGATACCAACTTATAAATAAATAAAGATCTACCGAGAGCTTATTTAATAAAATCATTTTTTTCATAAATAAACAAAAGATATAAAAGTATATAACAATACCTAGAATCAAGAAAGTGAGATTAACAATTCAATTTATAATAGTTTAAGATACATAAATCATAATAAATAATAAATGAAGAAAAAAAAACACCAATACGAATGCGCCGCCCAACGGGCGTGTAAAAAGCTAGTTAAATATATTAAAGAGGTTTCAGAAAATGACTCCCTCCACGTCACCTTGGAGTTACGCCCGTGACTTTCGGGTTTTCTGTTTTTATTCTTTTCTTTTTAATTTCATATGTTTTACGTAGGAATGGCAATTGGTCGGGTTGGGGCGGGTTTTGTCAAACCCAAACCCATGGGTTTATCCGCCAAAAAAACCAGGGGTAAAACCCGTTGGGTTTGAAAAATTCAAACTCAACCCAACCCGCTGGGTATCCGCGGGTTCATGGGTACCCGTGGGTTTTTGTGGTACAAAATTTACAATAACAAGTTTCTTTCAAAATAAAAGTTTAACATCAATTTTCTCATACAAATTAATCATACAAAAAAACACCAATCTAGAGCATACAAGCAAACCGCAAATGATCAATACAAATTGTTCAAAATTAAAGATAAACATCTATAAACAAAAGATTAATTGAAAGCTTCTTCCTCGTCAACTAAGTTTCTTCACTCTCCACTTCATAATATCAACTTCATTTTAAACAATTAGAAAGAACAAATTATACATGTCTCCACAAACATAAAGAATATTAATTGTTTAAAGAAAATATATTATTTAGAATATTAAATATACCGGGAAAGTAATTATATGTGTGTGGGCGGGTACCCATGGGTCGGGTTTACCTAAACCCAAACCCAACCCGACCCGGTGAATAGTGTAGCGGGTTTAAACCCGAATCCGACCCAAAACCCGTCAACACTGATTTTACCCGCGTTGACCGGGTTGGGTCGGGTGGGTACCCGTGGGTTCGGGTTTTGTTGCCATTCCTAGTTTTACGGGTGGTTACCATTTTTTCGGTTTTTTTCCTTTCAAAATTGTCCGACGTCCGTGTAATTTTCTTTTGTTATTTAGTTTTCTTTTGATAATTAATTCTCTATGATATTTTAAACCTCCCTCGGTCTTTCCTGCGGTAATTGGACTTTGGGTAGAATTAGGAATTTTCTCTTTTCACCAAATATCTCTTTTTCCTTCTTTTTATTAATGTTTAAGAAATCTTATCATACCGGCTGGTCGGACCGTAACACATATCATACCTAAATCGATAGATGGTTTTAGCGGTAGGAAAGATCAAACTACGGTTAAACCACAATTTTAGTACAAAATACATTATCCTCGACTTTTTCGGTATAACCTCTGATTAATTGCCTTTTACTCCTAAACAAAAGCTCTTTATCATCATCTTGAAAGCTATACCAACTATCAACGGGATTTTTCCAGAAATAGCAACTTTAAAAAAAAAATTACAAAAATAGCACCCATCCGTAAAAATTTACACTAATAGCACCCTTTTTAATAGAACGCACC